GATTTTCTATTTTCAAACAGAAATCCTGATCAAATGGATAAATGCCAATTTGATAATTTCTTTTTCACAAAAAGATCAGAAACTTGTACAATATGTATTTCTTCAATAATCTTTCAAAATATGGATGAGGAGTACAGCGATTCAGTTATCCTTTGAAGTGTCTTGGCGTCATAACCTGTTTTAGTTCCAATACATCCCAGTTTTCTATAATTAAGAGTTATTTTCTCCATGTTTAAGTATAGGTAAAGGTAATATTTATAGGAATAAAAAAGTGTATGATTTGTTGAATGCGATTTTTGATATAGGGACAAAATCAATAAAAGGTTTCCTTTATTAGATTATTCAGTACTTCATATTGTTTACAATACGCCAGAATAATCAATTTGACCAGTTCTGTGTCTCATTTGATATCACATATTAATTACATTTTTGCAAAGGATTAAATAACCTCAGCTCCGTTAATCAAATAAATTTTTTAATTGAATTTTTTTTGAATTATCATATATTTTGAAATAGTTGTCAATTTGATACTTAGAATATTTCATTTTCATATAATTTTTTTATATTTAATAAATAATTTTGTCCGGATGGTATATTTAGGGGATTTTTAATTTGGTAACAAAGGTTTTTTTTTTAAATTTGGTAAATAAAGGTTATGCGCGCATGCAGATAACTACTGCTACTTGATCATAAAAAAAAGTTGACTGAAATTGATCTTCAATAACTCGTGATTATTATAGCATGGTGAAATTTAAGGAGTTAATCTATACCGGAGAAAATTACGATCACCTAGGGAAATTTCAGTCATACAATTGATTTTTAAAGGCGGGATAGCCCGGAGCATAATGTGTATATTAATTCGATATTTACGATATACGATCACTCAGGGCATAATCTTATATTTTGATATTATATAATAATGCTGTAAAAGTATTCTGTATCTGTTTATTTTATCAGTTTAAAAATAGTTATGAAAATCTATAAAATAAAATAAAGTTTAAAAATATATAAAAATACAGCAGAAATAAGGTAATAATTATATCTAATTATAATCTTTATGGAGGTGCCAAATTTGAAAATTATTATGACTATAAAATGAATTAAATGAATGGACATCGTTAAAAAAAAAAATAATGAATGATAATTTTGCCGCTCAGCGAATAAAATTGGTTTAACAATCAGAGATGTCCCAATTTTCTAAAACACCATGAAAGTGATAACACCTATCCCCATCATTAGTGAATGGGCCACGCCATTTATCGTGTTCAAAAGATCCAGAAACGCCGAAACCGAGCCAATATTGTTTTACACGATCAGGAATATTCAAAGAATAACCTTTGTGAGCCCTTCGAGATTCGTCGGCGAATGTTCCATCCCCTCCGTTTACTACGGAAGCTTGAACACGTGTAATTGAACCAAGCGATACCTTGTTTTGTATCCACACGGTATGATCAGCTTATTTATTCCACCCAAAAAATATATACAAAGTTATTAGAGCAGATATTAATTAAATATTTAAATATTTTGTCATGATTATTCATGTTTACCTTCAATGAGCGTGAGCGCCATCGATATTAATAGGCCAAAGATGATTGCAATTATTATGGAAAATTTCATGGCGAATTTATATATTTTTTTAATAGGAGTAATAAGTATGTTTTGATGGAGTAGTAAGTATGTTTTGATGAAGTTTTGGTTTGATCCATGCTTTATATTTATATCTAAAAAACTTTTCATAAAAGCCAAGGGAAAAAAAAAAACTAAACATACTCGTAAAATTCAGAAAATCACAAATTTCTTTTTGCGATATTATATTTTTATTTATTATGAAATGATTTTCATTATTTTAAATTTTATTTATTTCAAAAGGGACAAAATTGTAAAAAAAAACAATTTTAAATTAATAAATGTTTTGAATCAGTTAATTCAGGAATAATTTTGAAAAAATTTTCGATTTTACTTACCCCTTTTTCCCGCCTGATACTATACGTGAGATTTTTATCACTCTGACCTAAAAGAATTCTTTATATATTAAATTTTAATGAATATAAGTTAATCTAAAAAAAAAAAGTCGGTTTCTTTTAAAAAATACGTGAACTTTCAAATACTTTTTTCTGATTATTGTAATACTGTCAAATTTGGGTGCCTCGTTTTGGATTTGGCTACAGATTTATTCGTTTGTATTTATTAGGGTTTCCGTTTGAAAATAGTATATTCGAATATTTGTTTGTAAATAAATAAAATTCAAATATATGTATATATATATTCTTCGATCGATTCTTTTTTTATAATTTTTTTTTGATATTATTTTTTTTTTTTTTTTTATATATTCTATTCGAAATGATTTTCGATATTTGAAATCAATTTCGATATCCGAAATCATTTCTTTTTTTCTTATTCGATTCTAATCAATTTTATTTATTGTATTGCGGAAAAATTTACTTTTTCAGCTTCATAATCTTCAAAATTCAATCCTTTATTGGTGTAGCATTCCCCTTTTTTTAACAAAAAATTAGCAAATCATTTTCGTATGGTATATGTAGAAATTCAATGATCAACATAACATTACCTTATTTATTAACCCTAAATTTAAGAGCATGATGGAAGTTTGATTTAATTGGTTTAATATTTGTGATCTACATAAAATGTTACACCAAATCAAACCAATAAAAATTCTAAATTCTTATCACGTGTATATTAATAAAGCGAAAATAATTTGTTTTATTTATAAGATAAAAAGTTTTAATAAAGAATAAAAAATTTTTTTTAAAAAACCAATTTTAAAACTTTAATATTTTATAACTTTAATATAATGACTCGAAAAAATCTTGACCCTTGTTCTGTTCATAATTGTCAAATAAATTCAAATCAATATTGCGGAATTACAACTAATGCATTAAGAAAAGCAAAAGAAAAAGGCACCTTTGAAAAATATAATTATTTAGAATTTGGAAAACAATTATGTTATGCACATTATCTTAGTATTATTGAACCCGATCCGATCGCAATAAAAAATTACAACTAATAGTATTCAAGATAATCCTAATATTCCTAATGTAAAATAAAGTAAATTGCTAACAGTCACTGGAAAAATAACCAATTTAGAGAGCAAAATTTTTTCATTATCATTGCGTAAATAAAATTTGTGGCACAGCATGATCTTCAAATATATATATATTATAAAATTTGTTAATATTAATTTAATTGGTTAAAATCGCCGATCTTCAAATCATAATTTTGGCCGCGATCTTTGTTAATTCTGGCCAAATTCGTAATGCCGGCCTAAATTCGCTTAAAATTGAAAAAAGCAGGATAATGGTAACACTGCATTTTTACAATGTGACGTACTAACTAAAAGTAAAAAATAGAACTTATTGACGGCTTCGACAAACTTTTTAAATTATTTTTCATATAACTTTTGTTAAGCAAGTTGGATTTCTACCAAAAGTTAATGTATTTTTTTTCATTAAATATAATGGCAGGTAAGAGAAACTTAAATATATTATACTATTTAAAAGACTTAAATTAAAACTAATAATAATTTTCTTTTTTTTTACATTTTTTCTTGTAGATTCTGAATTTG